CAACTTTTTTCATTGGCTTATTGAAAAAATTGCAAAAAAATTGACATTTTCTTTTTTTTTCTTTTTTTTTTTCCTCTTTTTCCTTTTTTATTTAATTTTTGCAATAGCCGTAAAAAGTTTTACATATGCAACAACAAAAAAACGGCAAAGTGTGGATAAAAAATCAAATAAAAGAAAGAAATCAACAAAAAAACGTATATAACAGTGAGCGAAAAAAAAAAATAGCTGCAAAAACAACAATAACAAATAAGTAATAAAACTAAAAAAAAACAAAATTTATCATTACACAGCAGAAAAAAAATTAAGATGGTTATAAATAAATACTAAAAAGTGGTACTAAATGTGTAGCAAATATACATACATTGAAATCAGAAGTAGCAATTGGCAATGAAGACCACGACAAGAAGGAAAAAAAACCGATGAAAACAACGAAGAATACAGAGGAGGGAAATAGATGCAGTTTCTCGTTTTATTTTTTTTTTCTTGCCATCTGACGTGATAGGTGATGTTTAAATATGCCAATATTCGCGTTAAGCACAGTTTTGTGCTAATCGTTGCAGTATCAACTGCCGTAATGGCAAAAACAGAAGCATTCAAAAGGAACATCAAGTACAGCAGCAACAGCTATACTCAAGCCGTTCCATGGTTGTTGTCTGTCGACGTTGTAGTTGATGATGACGTTGTTGTTGTTGTTGTTGCTGTTGCTGTCGCTGTTGCTGTTGCTGATGCTGCTGTTGCTGTAGCTTCCGAATATTTTTTGGTTTAACTGACTGAGTGAGTGAGTGACTGGGTGACTGACTGGTTGACTGAGCGATTGGGAGGCCCAAGGCCGCTGCTTTTTATTGATCTCTTAAAAGCATTTTTAGGGCCTAGTAGAATTGTTAACCGCATTGGAAGCCTTAAAGCCATATTTGGGTTTTAGGCGTAACTTGCATTTTTATTAAATCTTCAGGATGACCGGAAAAAATTTTTTTTTACTCCATCGCTTATTTCATTCACCCATTAGCCTACGAACTAAACTTGCCGGATGTATGACCTTGTTGGTATCAGTTATTACTGTCCGTCAAAGTGTATTTTTGTTCACTTTATTAACACAACTCATCCCTCCTCCTTGCTTTTCAACATTAACCAGGCAATTCTAATCACTTGCAAGCATATAAAGCATGTGTTTTGACTTCTTCCTTATCAGCTCTCTTCCTCAATACAAATTTTTTTCCTTTCGCCTCATTTTCCAAAATCTATCCTCCTCAATTGCTGGTAACAAGATCTTTGTTTACTTTGGCAACATTTGCATATCCGGCTAAGGTTTTCATTGTCTCGTTAGCTTGTAACAGCGATGAGAAACAACACTGACAAAAGCAGTAGCAGCAGACTTAGCGTCTGCAGCTAACTCAGCACCAGCAATTGTAATAACCATGAGAAAATGCGTGTGCTTTGTGTTAGACTTTCAACATATTAGCGCAGCTGAATATAAAGACAACAAGGTATTAGGCTGTCAATAAAAAAATTCACAGATCAGACGGTCAGTTAGAAAAAAAAGAAACATTTCCTTGTTACCGATAAAACATTCATTGTTTTGACATTATTTAAATTTCTAAAATTAATATTCTTCATCCTCGACCTGTTTAACTTGGCAGTTGACATGTGTAAAGCCCAAAAATATAAGAACCTCTCTATATTTCTGTCACAAAGGTTATTGCGTAAGAATTCGTAAACTAAAAAAGCAAGAAAAAAATTGGATAACATTCTTTTTTTTTTTTTTTGAAAAAAAATTGCTTAATGAGCAAAAATTAGAAGACTTTTGGAATTGCCTTTGCATTTAAAAACATTGCGATATTATTGTTTAGTAAAGCATAATTAACTGAAATTTTCTTTTCTTTTTTATTTTTGCTTCTGACTCTGAATATGTGATATTCAAAAAGTAGGATTATTTTGCGGCAACGAAAAAAAAAGAGAGATAGTGGAAGAAGAAAGAAGTTTGAAAAAGTTTAAATTTTTTCAAAATATCTTTAACAAGGCTTCTATCGCTCACCAGTTTTGAGTAGACATTCCGACGACGTTCCGGGCTATTCAGGAAATAATGTGCCTCAAAAGTGCAACAACGATAACGATAGCAACGACAATATAAACAACTATTCTTCTGCATACAATTTTGGAATGAAAACTTAAGACAGATAAAAACAACTGCTGGCTTATAATAGACTGTAAGTAACTTAAAAATTAACTTAAACCGACACCTGAGCGCGATTTACGCTCTTTTACATGTCTGCCAATTCGCCTACACACCAATGATAATAACAGTGAGATAGCAGTAATTTATTTGAGAATTGTCTTTTGAGCGCCCTAAATGTAGCTAATGAGTAGGAAAAAAAATAAAGAAGCTCAAAATGCTGCGAAAGAAAGATTGACTTTGTCGGACAAGCGAATTTAGATACATACTCGTCGAAACAGTGCACACTGAAGAGGCAGATTTACCACATACAAATTTTATGACTTAACATTCATTTTTTTTTCATTCTTTTCAATTCCACATTAACCTCTCCTGTTTCTGATAAAGTATTTCCAGACTTAAAAGAGTTACAATTCTTCAAAACTTGACTGTCATAATGACTTCTTAGAAAAAATTATTCAGATTTGTCTAGTCGTTTGTTATTACCAAATAAACCAAATCGCGCTTCTTACTGTTTACTAAATAATCAGATTAGAAAAAGCGATCCCGCTTTTCCGCTGATGAGAACGATTATTTTATCCATCTGTATCAGCCCCAAAAAAGCTTGTAGTGTCTTTAGAAACCATAAAACCAGACAAAGACTTTTACTTCTTCAGTCTTAGGTATTTCTTTAGACATTCCAGATGCAGTTAAGCAGATAATCTAGCGGCACAAAATCATTATAATAACACTTTAAGTGGAGCGATAATTAAAGAGATAGTCATCAAAAAAAAAAATTTTTTTGTTTATATTTAGGATGCTAGACTTTTTTTTCATTCTCTTGTTTGCAGTGTGAAAACCAATACATCATTCAATAAAAAGTTTAGATCTGCAAGTTCTTTTTTTTTTTTTAATTTAATAAAACTGAATTTAGCAAATTTTAATTATAAACTGGTAACCACCTATAGCTGTCAAAAATAAAAATCAGATTATTTTATTTTATTTTCTTTTATTTCATTTCTTTCTCTTTTTTTTCCTTTACTCTATTTCATTCTATTTTACTTCACTTTACTTTATCTTACTTTACTTTACTTTATTTCATTTCTTTATTTATTTACTTTTTATTCTCTGTTTTTTTTTTATTTTTTTTTACGGAAAAGAGCTTCTTTTCTAGGCAACCGCCTCAAATTTTAGGTTCTTCGACTTGATAATCATTAGAGAATTAAATGGTGATACATTAAATTTTTGACCATAAAAAACTGCAGGCTTTGAAAAAAATTCTTAAGCGTGAAGTATCAGACTACAGCTGAACAAAAAAACAGACAGATATAATTTTACAAACAAATCTGCCTCATCGTCGAAATCAGCAAAAGCATTAGAATTAAGTGAAAAAGAGGTCAGAAATAAGGAAGAAAGAAGATAATCAGTATAGCAGTGATTACCTTGAAACTGATTACTAATGCCGGTGCTGCTGGTAGAGCTTCAAAAGAAAATAACAAAAGGTTCTTGTTTTTTTTTTCTTCCTCCTCCCCTTATCAAGTTAACAACTTACTTGATAATTATTTCTGAAAACAAAATAAAGAAACCTTCCCTTTTAGCAAAGGAAAAACTATAATTTGACAGCAAAGAAAACTGCGTTCGGTTTAAAAAAGTATCCATTAATTGTTTTTTGTTGTTGGTTATTAGCTACAACTGACATATTTGGATAAATCTTACATATAAGAATTATAACACCAATAAAACCATCTAAACTGTTTACCTCCTTATTTAAATATTTCTCAAAAAATTAATAACATCTTTAAAACCAATGAAACAATTAGAAATAGGAATGCATACATAATGGAGAAAAAAAAAAGATAAATTACTGACAGCAGACCTATGCTAAGCAACCGGCATTCTAGATACTAGCAAATATAAAAAAGTTGAAAAAAAATTCCTAGTTTGATAATGATTAGAAAAAAAAAAAAATTTTACTTCATTGGTGAAAAAATTGCTAAGACCATCAATGATTTGCATCAACGCTTAGATACATCATGTTTTTTTCTTTTTTTGTCTACTTTTTAAACAAATCTTTTTTTTTT